TGCTGGATTAGCGCTTCTTGGTACGGCCTGGCACGAGCTCGTGAGAGAACAGAGGCTCCTCATGGAGGCAGTTTCCGAGAGACGCTACGAAGCATTCGCTTAGTCCGGTAAGCAAACGGAGAAACGCGAAGCTTCTGCACTACTCTACTGCACTGTCTCTGGATAAAACTACGCATTGGTGAACGAAGCCGATGTCGAAGTTTCGAAGTTTGCTATTTTGTGATAAAAAATTATAGACCATTTTCGGAAGTTTGTAATGAAAAATAGAAAGAATGGGAAGGAAAAAGAAACTCAGGCGAGTGACAGACAAATGAAATAATGGCGACAAAAAAAAAAAAAAGAAAAAAGAACGAACACAATTTGTGCAGAAAGAAGTTAGTGAAGAAAGAGAAAAAAGCGCAGGCGAGCTGGTCTTGTTTTGTTCGTTTTTATGTAATACCTCTTTTACTCTGGTTTACTAATAATCTGAAAATGGGAGCAGTACCCCCGTAGTCGATATCCATCTCCATGCCGCCGTGGATTAGGAATGCAGCGGCTGTGCCATCATAGCCTTATACTACATGCCTTTTGATAGTCGCGTATGAAGGTTTACCACTGCATGTGATGAGAGAGTAATTAAGTACGTAGTATGTAGCTAGTGCATCACCCAACTATGTAATTAAAACCGTGTGATTCCTGCTGGAGACACGCAGGCTAGTAGTCCTACAGTAATGGATAAATTTCCCATACGTAGCTGAAACACTCAATGTCAATTCAAGGCAGACTAACCCTTTTCTGTCTAAACATACAGCAAGTATGAAATATGACTTCAGTGTAATTAAGGAGTGTACTTTTGACACAACCTTTGGAGAAAGCCAAAAGTGCATTCGGAAGCAATTTAGGTAAAAATAGATTTACTTTATTTTTGTACGTTTCAAAGCTTTCATAGCAAAATAAGTTGCTTATCCGTCTTTCTATTAAAGTCTTGTCAGTATTTGAATGGCTTACAGTTCAGTTATACGAAACCCAGTACAACAAATTAGTTACTTAGCTGTGTATAACACCCTGAAAACAGTGTGAAAATGTCTCGACAAGGGTGTGGTTCCTGCCTTTATGTTAATGTGTTCGCGTTACAGCAACCGCTTATAACCACAATTTATTCATAAACACATGTTGCTCTACTAAAAACATCACATTTCATGCATCACTGAAAATATCGTATTTCGAGGATTGAATTTAAATAAACATTCAACTGCCAATTTGGTAAAAAAATTATATTAATTCCAAATATGCAATCAAATGTTTTAAAGCGGATGAAAGGAGCCAATGACACTCATGTTCCACACCACGGCGTCGTGAAATCTCGCGAGGAGCTACGCTTTGTCATTCGGGAGCCATCTGCACGTGCCTACGCTTTGTCATTCGGGAGCCAGCTGCGCGGGCCGACGGCCGCCGGCTACAAGAAGCTCCCGCGTGAGTCATACACGGTCCAGCCCCTTGCGCTCCAGTTCGCCTCCACCTCATGACGCCAAGAAAACGTGTCGGGTTGCGGGTCACACAGTCCGAGTTTCGAATTTCGCTGCGCCGGTTGGTAAATCTCGGGAATTGCGATTAATTAGGCTTAATCAAAATTCATTATTGTTAAATATGACTAAGTGTCTTTTTATGTATATTGTTTGCTTATTCATCGCCTGCGATTGTTTGGGTGTGATTTATGTTACCTTGGCTGCGTGTTACGGGGTTTAGTACGCTTGAGCGTAACGCCCTTTGGTAGAACACCCAGCCCTTATACACATTTCGCGTTTTAAGTGAAGAAAATATAACTAAGTTATTTTAGAGAAAAAATATCGGCATCTTTGTGGCAAATATCTTCTATTACAATCTTTGCTATTAGAACTACAGATGACAGTATGTTCAAGTTAAGCTAATGATTTGACGATGATCAAGCGCTTTAAAGGGCCAAGCATATTTTGCTGACAAAGATCGTAAGATAATGATTTTTGACATTATATAACAAAATAGGCCTTCGCTACCTTCGAGAACATCAATATTTCCACACACATAAACTAGTACTTCGGACGGGCAGATTTTGTTAGAATATGTACACGTATTTGTAATTTGCATGATGTGTACTTTGGAAACAAAGAAAATTTGTAGGGCCAAGTCACTGTTTTATATAAGCGCCCGCGGCTATCTCAACTTTTTTAAACTCTAATAATAAAAAAAAAAAAACAGCGCTTCTATAAACTTTCTGACGGCGTTTGCACAATGTTGCTACAGCTTTTGAAACGCCTCTTCCCGAAATCCAATATAGGCATCGAAGACGACGAATTCTAAACGACTCAAAATAGTTCAGAGAACACACCGTAGAGCGGCTCCCGCCAATCTCCGGAAACTTGTTTTCACCACGTATACTCTCTGGAAGCTTCTTGGGGAATTTCCAGAGCTCTCTGTAAAGCAGATTTGTTTTTTGTTGTTGTCCCAAATATCGGACGGAACCAAATCCCCTTTTTTTTTGCCCCCCCCCCCCCCCCCCCCCCCGAGCGAAACTGAATCTTCTCTTTGTCGCGCATGTAAACACCACTTACTTAAAAAAAAAAAGAAAGAACGCATGCGTATAAATAATTTAGGGCAACGAAAGAAATTGAGGTATTTTACTTTTTTTATTTTGTGTGTGTTCTCTATATATCTTCTACTATCTCGTGACATGTTCGATTTTGTTTATTCGCGTCTTGGATAATAATCTTGCGTATTTGTCGTACAATGTTTTATGAGAAACTCTTTATTGGCACAATTTCCAGGAATATTAACAAATCCTGCATTTTGAAGAGGCGTATGAGTCATAAAAAACTTTCAGACGACAAGAGGCGAGAAATTTCGTGACATATTTAGTGGATGCTACGAAACTTTAAGCGCCAACATTTTTTTTTTTTGCACAAGACTTGGTTTTTGTAAACGTAGATTCGCCGGTCTCTAGTGCAGACCGCAGTACGAACTAGGGATGTCGCGAACCACCCCAAGTTCGATTTCGAAAGGTTTCGATATTTGCGAAGCAAACTGAGGTTCGATTTCGAAAAATTTCGATATTTTCGTACCGACCGAGGTTCGAATTCGAAAAATTCGCAACTTTCGATCACAGTGGAGTTTCGAATTCGAAAAGTTCGAAGCTTTCACTGTT